TATAACGCCTACATCCTTTTCAAGGCTTTGTCTGTTGAAGTCCACCACGACAGACGCTGTAGGTTTTGTTTTGTTTTGTGCACAGAACAATTGGCTACCTAAGAGGTGGTTGAATTCTGCCTTGTAGGTACAGACCGACCCTGTGGAAACTCTTTTTTAATAACACTTTCATCATTTGAGACCACATGTCAAAGGCACCCTTGCCCACAGCCCATTTTTTAGTCAATAAAGAGAAATTTTATTTCAATCTCTTTGCCAGAAGTCAATGCTTTTTAACATGCAATTGCAATTTTTAGACGGTGAGATAATAGAAACTTGTAATAAGCTGTACAACCTAGTTATTTTGAATGGACTTTTCCATTACAAAAAAGGTTGGTTTTATTTGTTTTAAAAAAAATTTACAGAAATACAAAGCAAAGATATAAAGACTAAAGAGAAGAAAAATTTGGAACAACACAAAGAGAATAAAGTACTTCATTCTTACTGAGCTAGATTTCCCTGCAGCCTAAGAGACTCCATACTTCCTAAAAGGAAGATGAATAGTCGGGTTATGGAGGGTCTTCTGAGTTGCGAGTGCGTGGACAGGTACACAGAAGAAGGATAGGGAGTGCAGGCACCACATAACCACTCAGGATGCAGAATGACCTCATGGCTCCATCTGTGCCACGGAAAAGTAGTAAATGGGTCAGAGTCAGAAAACTCCATTTAGACGAGAGTATAAGAAGACTCATGGAAGATGAGGACTTTGAACTGGCAGGACGGCACTGGCTGACAGGAGGATGGAGGGTCTCCTGAGCGGGGGCAGGGAGTAGATTCCTACTGTAGTTGACCCTTGAGCAACACGGGCTTGAACTGCACGGGTCCAAATTTTTTTTTAGTAAATACAGTACAGTACTATAAATGCATTTTTTCTTCCTTGTGACTTTCTTAATTATGTTTCCTTTTCTCTAGCTTGCTTTATTGTAAGAAAACAGTATGTAATACATATAACATACAACATATGTGTGCATTGACTGTTCTTGTTCTTGGGAAGGCTCTGGCCAACAGTAGGCTGTTAGCAGTTAAGGTTTGGGGTAAACTGCAGAATGCCCTGGCCTGGCTTGTCTCATCCTCACCAAAATGAAGTTCATTTTGAGGAGCAGGGGGAGATGAGACTGGGGCATTGAGACAACATTAAATTAAGCAGTGCCTGGGATTGCTGGTGAGGAATCTGTATTTGAAACTTTGTCCGTGGGGGAGCCAGTGAAGATTTGGGGGAAAACCTATAGAATCAGGGAGGCAGCTGACAATGTTTTTTTAATGTGCTTTTTAATGGTGACTTATTACCACAGCTCTCAAGTCAGGTTCATTATTCTTATCCTGCAGAAGTTCTGCAGGAAAGACCTGGCAATCATGCAGGGACTTTATTCTTTATCCCTTTCTGTGGCCCAATGTTTGACCCTACTAAATGCCCCTGGGGGTCATGGTGCCTGCTTCCCATTCTTCTCTGCCCACCAGTCCTTCGCCACCAATTTTGAGGCGCGCTGCCAGGCTTGGAAAGCAGATCTGCCCTAACAGGCAGGTTATTGGTGTTTTGTTTGGTTTCTTTGACCATGGCGGGGCTTTTCTCTTGATTTAAAAATAATGGGAATGCTTTTTGGAAAACAAGTCCCTCCATAAGAAAGGCAAATGGGGGACATTCTGGGTAAAGATTTGGTTAGACTTGAGTTGGTTGTTAAAGTTAGTCTGATTAAATACAGTCTTTTATTTAATAGCAACACTAAATAGGCAAGTCCAGGACCCACAGTTTTTGGGGGGCTCGCTGTGTGAAAAGGAAGGTAGCTTTCCCTTGCCCCTCTTCAGCCAGATCTGTAAATCTCAATTCTGTGTAAAGATTTAAAATGTTAAGGGCCAGGGCACCTGGGCAGCCCAGTTGGTTAAGCGCCCAACTTCAGTGTCCTGGGAGCAAGCCCTGCGTCAGGCTCTGTGCTCAGCGGGGAGTCTGCTTGTCCAGCTCCCTCTCTTTCTGCCCCTCCCCCAACTCATGCTCTCTCTCTCTCTCTCTCTCTCTCTCTCTCTCTCTCTTTCTCTCAAATAAATAAAATCTTCAAAAAAATGTTAATGTTAAAGGCAAAAGAAAGGCCACATCAATCAATAATAGCAAAAGCAAGGCTATATAACTGCCAGGTTGGTCTCCAAAGATACTGGTTTCCTTTTGTCATTCTCTTGCTAAGAACCTGCAGTACTTTTTCTCAGGCCTCTGCCTTTAAATTCCCTCTGGCTAATACCACCAATAGAGGAAGCTTTTCCTTCTCTGGATTCCTTATCTCATCTCTCTTTCACACAGCCAGACCTCCCCACTCTGGCTTTGTTTGTTTGTTTCTTTGTGTTTTAAATATTATTTATTTATTTATTTATTTATTTATTTATTTGAGAGAGAGAGAGAGAGCATGAAGAGGGGAGGATCAGAGAGAGAAGCAGACTCCCTGCCGAGCAGGGAGCCCGATGCGGTCGCTTAACCAACTGAGCCACCCAGGTGCCCATCCCCACTCTGGTTTTAGCTGGCACAGTCTCTCCTGCGTTTCAGGAGACCGAGGTTGCCTTCTACTTCCTTTTGCCCTCTCACTGTAACTGAATGGGTTGAAGGCATAGGCGGATGCTGAAGGGATAAACCGCAGATTGTGCTGCTTATATGAGGTGATGGCCCCAAGGGAAGTTCGTAGTATATATATCGCCTTTCTTTAGTTTATCCTGACAAAATAAGGCGAACTTGGAGAAGTAATGCCAGGGAGAAGCCAGACCCCTTGGTTGAAAGACGAAAAAGATAGCTAAATTAAACCAACGTTGATGAGATAGATCTTTCATTTAAAAATGTTTTATTGTGGGTTGCCTGGGTGGCTCAGTTGGTTGAGCATCTGCCTTTGGCTTGGGTCATGATCCCGAGGTCCTGGGATCGAGCCCCGCATCGGGCTCCCTGCTCAGTGGGGAGTCTGCTTCTCCCTCTCCCTCTGCCTGCCGCTCCCCCTGCTTGTGCTCTCTGTCAGATAAATAAATAAAATCTTAAAAAAATAAATAAATAAAAATGTGTTGGTTTTTTTTAAAGATTTTTGTCTATTTAATTGACAGAGACACAGCGAGAGAGGGAACACAAGCAGGGGGAGTGGAAGAGGGAGAAGCAGACTTCCTACTGAGCAGAGAGCCCAATGCGGGGCTCGATTCCAGGACCCTGGGATCATGACCTGAGCCGAAGGCAGACGCCTAATAACTGAGCCACCCAGGCGCCCCAATAAAAATGTTTTATTGTGAAATATAGCATCATTCAAAACACCATATGAAAATGTAGTGTACAGTTTAAAGATACTTGCTTCTTTAAAATAGTCCAATTCAAGTTGCTTTACATTTATTAGTGAAAAATTCACTGTGACTAGTTCCTGCTAAAACTGGACAATTAAATATTCAGAAGAGCTAAAAAGCATCCCTAACATGTCTTACTAATCCATGCAACAGTTTACCTATGAATGGACTTTTCTTTGACAATAACACTTGTTTTGTTAATGGGGATTTCTTTAAAATATTTTATTTATTTATTTGAGAGAGAGAGAGAGAGAGCACAAGCAGGCCAGGGGAGGGGCAGAGGGAGAAGGAGGAGCAGACTCCCTGCTGAGCAGGGAGCCTGACAAGGGGCTTGACCAGCTTGACAAGGCTTGACAAGGATTTTCAGTCCTTGATATCAGGACCCTGGGATCATGACCTGAGCTGAAGGCAGGAGCTTAACTGAGTGAGTCCCCCAGGCGCCCCGGGTTTTTTTTGACTAGGCTCCACACCCAGCGTGGAGCCCAGTGCAGGGCTTGAACTCAGGACCCTGAGATCAAGAGCTGAGCTAAGATCGAGAGTCAGACGCTCAACTGACTAAGCCACCCAGGAGCCCTGGGAATTTTTTTTTAATTAGGAATTTAGGCCATAAAGTTCTCAGATTAATTGTGAATATATTTGATGGTTTTAGAGCTTTCTGAATTCCTGCTTCTATGTCTGTATATAGTTTATGAAGCCTGTCTGAGTCTTTCCCATCCCAACTTAAGTCCCACCTCCCCCATAGAGAGGAGTGATTAACATCTATTGCTATTACTCTGTGCCCGGAGCTGTACCAATGTTTTACACATGCTCTCTTATTTAATTTTCTCAGGAATGCTGTGAGATAATATAATAGTGTTACTCCCAATTCACAGATGAGAAAACTGAGGTCTCGTGCCTCGTCCCTCAGAGCTAGCGAGGATTCGAGCTCAAGTTCTAAGTGCCATGCTTTCTTAAAGCCCTAGCTCTGCCCCTACCCATGGACTATATGCCCTGCCTTCCCCCACCATGATCTCTTAGCCTGAACTCCTATATCCTAGTGTCTGCTTCACTTAATACATATTTCCATGTCTCCCTTATCACCTGGCCTGCTGACCTGCAGATAGTAGTTGCTGAAGGAATGTCTGATCGGAGAAGAATTATTTTCTTTTTTGCAGCAGAGGGAATGCTTATTTACTAAGTTTGTACGCCAGGGATGTGAGCTCAGAAGGAGGCCTGTTTCCAGGATTCTTTTAAATGCCAGCTTTATAGTATCCTTGATTTTATCGAATTTTCAGTGAGAGAAAATTCTACGTAAAAGTTAACTTACATTGCATATAGTGTTTTAATCTATTAGTATTGAAATGATTTGAGATTATCTTTCTTTTTGATTTATGGTTGTCTTTCATTTCATCTCAAGATGAGCACCTGCTATTAGCAGTGATTTCTACAAAACCAGTGAAGCAAAGTGTCTGCCCCTTGGGGCACTGAAGAGTTTATTTGGTAAAATGAGAGCGGAGACAACTCAGACTGGCAAAAAACAAAGCAAAACAAATCAAAAAGGTGGTTGAATTGGGCTGTAAACTCTTAAGGGGCCGACTGATAACTTTTCATGTGTGATGTTTTGATAAGTAATAATGTTAAGCTTCAATCATTATTGTGAAGTTAAATGATTATACATGTCTTTACAGCAAATTTATTTCTGATCGTGAGAGTAGAAGAAGTCTCACTAACAGCCATTTGGAAAAAAAGAAATGTGATGAATATGTAAGTGTCATTTATAATAAACTATGCTTTTTTGTTTTAGTCACATAAATTGGGACATGTTTTTAATTCGGGTAGCATAATACCAAAAGTGTAGCTATTTATATTCACCAAGATAGCCTATGTATTTTCTCCTGAAACCCATTTTAAAAAATAACTAGACCACTCAGGAAGTATTTCTTGAATTTTACTTCCACACCGGTTCCTAATAGTGCTTTGAAGACTTTGGCATGATGAACTTTCTTGAGGACTGTTTTGCTTATGTTTGTCTCTCTGTTTAGATTCCAGGAACAACCTCCTTAGGCATGTCTGTTTTTAACCTAAGCAACGCCATTATGGGCAGTGGGATTTTGGGACTGGCCTTTGCCCTGGCAAACACCGGAATCCTACTTTTTCTGTGAGTGTTGACACTGCAGTACTTTCCATGTAAAACTGTATTTTCTGTATGTTTCTGTTCATACAGAAGAAATTGGAAATATTTCTGAATAGTTTTTATGTTTTTACTAACTTGGTTAAGTTATGAGTACATACTTTTATATCGTTTGTTGGAGTGATTTTCCAAGTTGCACCTAATGTTTATAAGAAAGGGGAAATAGAAAAATCTTTTTATTCACCAAAAACACCAAAATAAGCCTTTATAAAAAGGATTAAAAATTTTCAAAATAAGATTTTTGGTATTTTGGGATTCCTTATACCTGTCACTTTAAATCTCACCAAAAAGTCAAAATATTTAGAGGTGTCTAATCCAACCACTCAACATTTTGGTATTTGGATTGCAATGGAATATGTACTATATCCAAAGGTAATTGCAAATTTGTTTGTAATAAATAGCCAAGAAGCACAGATGAGAAATTAGCATGTACTTTTCCTCTGAGAGTTAGTTAAGAGAAAATAGGCAGTTTTGTTTTTAAATAACTTTTCCTCACACTGTTGAATGGGACTTTCAGCAGATGTACAGAGGGCTTCTTTTCAGTTGGAACAAGATGAAAACAGATCATAGAATTTATACCAGGAAAATTCTCACCCAGCCTGATTCCCCTCTCAAGACCCTACGGAGTATCAGTAGGCAAGGAGGCAAGGAGGAAATTCTCTTCTCCAGCCTTTTCCCCCGAGACTGCACTCACGTTCTTCATTGGCCTTGCTCAGTAGTCTTCATTGCTGGATCTTGAGATGGGAGCATCATTTTCTTGGAAGCAGTGACCAAAATGGCTAGTACTCTTACAAATTGTGTATATTCCTTTAGAAAGACTTAGAAAATTGTGATGCAAGTACACTGCTTCCCATTCCATTACCCAGGGATCAGTGATGTCCATCCATGCTGGACCATATGGGTCAGTAGCACTAGGGGTTAATATTCTTCCTCTTAACGTGTAAACACACTAGACATGTCCTTCCTAGAATTAAAACTCTGTATAGGACAGTGAATTCAAGACGTTTTCTTCCTTATTGTCCACCCAACTCGGTAAACCCAACTATAGCCTCCTCTTTTTATTGTGCTGGGTGGATCATTCTGTGTGGCCTTTCTGTTTATGTATATCTTGAGCCAAGTGCCAGGTTTTAGGGTAAAAGGATGGAGTTGGACAAAATATTTCTATGGTGACTTTTTTGGTACGCGTGGAACTCTGACCCTCTGAGGATACCATGGGGTCGCTGCACTTGTGATTTTCAGAGCAGTGACCAGAGGCACATGACTGCTAGTCCCAACTCCTCTTCTGAATGGCTGTGTAGTCTTAAGCAAGTTACTTAGCCACTCTGAGCTGCAGTTGCTTACTCTGTAAAACAAGGAAATTGCACTAGAAAAATCTCAGAACTCTGCCAACCTCTAAAACCCTTTGATTCTGTGACTATTATCAGTTATTCCAGGGCTGGAAAAATGTTCAGTTCAGAAATGTGTTTTACATTGATTTATTTATTTTTTAGTTATTGCAGTATTAGTTAGTTCTATGTTAAGTAGTTGAAGAGTCAATTCTTTGATGATGGTAACAACAGTCCTCGTACCAGGTACTACTTTAAGTACTTTATGCTGAATCCTTGCAAGTCTCTGAAATAGGTACTCGTGTTAGTTCCCTCCTTCATGGATAAGGAAACTGAGGAAGAGGGAACAGACTTTTATTTTGGAATCTCTCTTTGTCACCATTCTGGGAATTCCCTTCTCTGGGAATCCCCTTTGCCTCTCTTCTCTCCTAGATCCCCTGTTCCCTCTATTCCATTTCTTCCTTTTTCTGGATTTACTTCCTTGCTTTTGTTGCTGAGAAAGGATGAATAGAAATATGTTTTTCAAGGCCTTCATGTCTGCAAAATGTTTTTATCCTACCTTCACCTTGGGTTGGCAGTTTGGCTGGATATAGAACTCTATATTGGCAGTATTTTTCCATCAGAATTTGAAGGTATTGCTTCACTGCTTTCTAGTTTCTTCTGTTGTGAAGTCCCATATCCTCCTGATTCCTGATCTTTTCAGTATAGCCAGGGTTTTTGTTTCTTGTTCTGGTTTGTTTCTGGAAATTTGTTGAATCTCTTTGCTCCCCATGTTCTTCAGTTTTATAGTGGTGTGTCTTGATGTGGGCCTTTATCATCCACTGTGTCAGGCAGTCAGTACCTCCTTTTCTTTTAGAAGTTCATAGTCTTCAGTTTGGGGACATTTTCTTACACATTATTGTGTCAATGAATTCCTTCCTCTTCTTTCCCTTTTCTCTGTTTCTGGAACTGCTCCCCAGATTCTGGACTTTCTGGACTTGTCCTCTCAGTTTTATTTTTTCTTTTCATTTCTTCAATTTTTCACTGTAGTTTCTGGGATATGTCCTCAATTTTCCCCAGCTCTTTACTGAATGCTTTATTTCTGTTATTATTTTTTTTATTTATAGGAGCTTTTAAAAATTCTTGGAATGTTCCTTTCTTATATCATTTTGTTTTATGATTTCAGTGTTTTTTCTAAGGATTCTAGTGATAGTTTTGGAAAATTTCAAGCATAAAATGGGAAGAAGAGTATAAAAGATTCCCATGTTCCCTTCATCCCATGCCTTACTTTAATCATCCCCCTCATCTGTATTGTCTCAAAGCAAATCCCAGCTCTAATATCATTTCATCCATAAATATTTCAGTGTATTTCTCATTAAAATAAGGATTGTTTTAATAATTATTTAATAAGGATTTAATATTTAATAATTATTTAATAAGGATTATTAATACATAACCATATTATGTCACACCTAAAAAATTATCAGCAGTTCCTTAATATCATCAAATATCCAAACAAAATTTGAACTGTCTATTTATCTCCTTTGACAAAACAACAACTGGGTTTTCCAAATCAGTACTCAAATAAGGTCCATATAGTGCAATTGGCTATGTGTTTTAATCTCTTTTAAGCTGTAGGTTCCCTGTTTCTCTCTCTTCTTTTTTCCTATACAATATATGTGTTGAAGAAACTGAGCCATTTGTCCCATAGAGTTTACCACAGTCTGAATTCCGCTGACTCTATCCCTCTGGTGCAAGTTGATTTTTTGTTTGTTTGTTTGCTTTGGACCCCATCTTTCATTTTAGAATCTTTCCTCAGATGTCAGGTGGTCCTTCTTTGTCTGTTATATTCAAAAGTAAGGGATGGTAAAAACAAGTGTAATTTACACCCACTACACGTGAGTAGGGCTTGTTGGCGATAGCTTCACATAAGGTGTTGTCACAAGCCCTTTACTTGGGGAACCAGCAATGTCACTCTTTGGCTGTTGGGATCACCCAGCATCTTCCAGTCGCCTGCCTGGAGGGTCTGAGCATTGCCACCATATTTCTGGGAACCAAGTTGGGGGCAAGGTTTGGAGTGGATATCTCAGTTGCATGTGTTTACCCAATCACAGTTTTCCTGACAAGTACCCACCCCCCTGACAATTTGTGCTGGGTCCCTCACCCAGAGACCTGTATTTTATACTTGACAGAGAATGTGTCTTCAGATATATATCTTTTGCCAGATGGGGAGGAGCAACCACTCAGCTTTACGGAATAGGTGCCTGGTCTGGGAATCTAGCTATTCCTTGAAGATCCTCTTTATTTTAGCTCATCCCTCCCATTGTTCCCTCCTTCCAGTAATGCCACTGGGGCCTTTTGGGAATTCTGTGGTGAAAATTGGATTGGTCTTGTTTTTCTCCACTGCCAGTTTAAGGTTCAGCTTTGTCTACTTTCCAGTTCTGAAATTTTGTGCTTATTATCTCCTCTCATGTTCTTAGGAGGGAGCAGGAGTTAAGTTTATATATTCAATCTACCATTTCTAGAATTCAGTTGATTTTTAATTGTAGTGATTCAGGGATAATTGATCTCTTGTCTCATGACTCTTCAGTTTCTGACTGAAGCAAAGAATTGGATAAACTTGACTCTTACAGTTGCAGGAAGACTTCCCTGCATAAAACTCTTATAAATCGTTTGGTTATTTGCAAGATGTATGAATAGCAAGCGCCACACACCAAATCATCAGGTGAAAGCTCGAGAAGGTAGCTGTATAAAGACCCAAACTTACAAGCTTTTCACAAAATGTAGAACTCCCCTACCTTAGACCAAGGACTCACTCTGTGTGTTGTCAAACCAGCTGCTCCAAGCCAAGAAGCAGTTGGCAGGATCAAGGTATCTCATCTGGTACAGGGCCCTGTTCCAGACTCATATTAGCCAACACGGAAAAAGAGTCCAAGCCTGTCCAGGCTTCTTTAGAAAAGCAGCTGGGAAGGCTCCTCTGAGTCTCCCCGAGGCTGGGTGCAGAGCTCTTCACTGGGGTCATCTGAAAACTTGTGGGAGTGATTTCTTTTTCTTGGATGAATTTGAGGCTCTTTTTTTTTTTTTTTTGACCTAACCATAATGGCTGTCATCCCTGTTTAACACACCTCTGATTCAGTTGGATTCAGTGAACTCTGCCCCATTGGAAGAATGCAGTTAGGTTTTGTGTTTCCCTGAATTCTGAAGCCCTATAATTCCACCCAAGGAACAGGAAGTATGGGAATGGGGAATCTCCACTTACAGTTGTTCTGACAGTATCTGTTCTCTGTTGGAAACAAAATGGGGCTGTACCCTGAGGCAGCAGTTCGGGGATATGCTGAGGCACGAGTATCTCAGGGTAAAATGCACACATTGAAATGAGTTTTCCTAAAATTGGGGATCCAAGGAAAAGGCAGTGGGTGCTGAAAACTTTTCCACTGTAACTCCCTGTTCTATCACTGATTTTTTTTTTTTTTTTTTTTTTTTTTACATAGCTCCCCTGTAACTCCATCATGGCCAAAGTGGGATCAAAAGTAAATATTGGCAGGGTGCCTGGGTGGCTCAGTGGGTTAAGCGGCTAACTCCTGATTGCGGCTTAGGTCACGATCTCAGGGTCATGAGATTGAACGCCGAGTAGGGCTCTGCGCTGGGCGTGGAGCCTGCTTAAGGTTCTCTGTCCCCTTCTCCCTCTCCCCCCGCCCCAAGAAAAGAAAAGAAAAGGAAAACAAAGTAAATATGGGCATGGAAGAATGGTGAGGTTTGTTTTGTTTTTTATTTCACCTTACCATCTCCACCACCCAGCCCAAAACAGGAAAGTTATATTTCTAAATGTATCTATTAAAAGCATATATTTTATAGAAAATGAATGTCTTTAGAATGTATCACTTCCTCATAGTAGTAGGTAAATGAGAGGTTTACTAAACTATACAGAATCTGATAAAGCAATAAATGCTTTATATTTTTCCATAACTTCTTGGCAGGTATTATCGTTTATTATTTTAATAATGTAGCCCCTTAAGTGTAAAACTGTAAAAAAGGAGACTATAATTGATGATACTTCTGAGACCTCAAAAGATATGATCATTTAGGGGCGCCTGGGTGGCTCAGTCATTAAGCGTCTGCCTTCGGCTCAGGTCATGATCCCAGGGTCCTGGGATCGAGCCCCGCATCAGGCTCTCTGCTCGGCCGGGAGCCTGCTTCTCTCTCTCCCACTCCCCCTGCTTGTGTTTCCTCTCTAGCCATCTCTCTCTCTCTGTCAAATAAATAAAATAAAATCTTAAAAAAAAAAAAGATATCATTTATCGTAAACACTGAGTTTATAAACCGTCTGTTTGAAATGATAATTGTGAAACAACATAACAATCTATATAGACAATAGTTTAAATTTTATTTTGGTTGATTACAATTCCAGAGTCTCATTTTTTGAGTCTCATTTGCCATTTTCATGTCACTCAGTTGTGAGGATAAAAAGATAATATAGCTAAAGACACACTTTGAAAAGTGGCACACAAGTAGACATTTATTCATTAGTGTCAGCCCCATGGGACTGCTATGAGTGTGTGTGTGTGTGTGCACAGGTGTGTGTGTGTGACAGAGAGAGAAGGGAGTATGTGTGTGAGAGAGAGAGAATATGTGAGAGTGTGTGTGCGTGAGAGAATAAGTGTGTGTGTGTGTGTCTGAGAGAGAGAGAGAGAGAGATGAAGGGAGTACCAGTAGTTCCTGGTATGTAGCAGCACTATATAGGACGTGTTTGTGGAAGTATTAGTTAGGTGGTCACTAAATAAGGGTTAACATTTATTGAACAGTAATTATATATGCCATATTATGTCGTTTAATCTCCATCAACTATGAAGTAAGTATTAGTTCCTTTTTACAGATGAAGTAACGGAGGCTTAATAACAACTTAGCAAGTTGGGGAGCCAGGGTTCTGTCCAGGCTTTTCTGACTCTAGAACCAGTGTGATCTAAAACGCGATACTGCCTTTTAGTGATGCCTTCGTCAGAAACCAAATTTGCATTATTAATGTACATCATCAGAGAAATTTTATTCTTATCAATAGATACTTGCAAGTTAATATTTTAGCTTTAAAAATCACCTTGTATAATCATTCATATTCCTGGACTATTTTACTACTATTTCACCAAGGACCATCGCCCTTATTGTAATGGAAATAGTTTTGCAATATTGCGTGCACCAAATTGTAGATCGGGGGTGGTCAGGTTCCTGGTAATAGCCAATAAAATACATGCCTATAGTATATCATAAACCTGACATGCCCTCTGAATGGCTTCGTGTGTCCCACGTCTACATCCGACTTGGCCTTGTGTGCTATCTGAGACTCCCCGCTGTCTTCGTGAGCCCTTGAATTTAATTCCTTCCAAAGATTTAACTAAATGTTGTTGTTAAGAATTAAAAACCCAGTACTGACAAAGTCAGATAATACCAAGTCTGTTGTTAGAGAATTGGTTCAATAATCATAGTAGTTCCATAAAACAGAATATTAGACAACTATATAAAAGGGTAAACTGGATTATGTGTACTGGTATGAGAAAAATGTCCTAAGAATATTATTGTGTGAAAAAACCTGACTGTTAGGTGGAAGTGAGCAAGGAAGGAGATTGTGTGTGTATATGCACACACCCCACAGACTACTCGGGAGGGTGCACAAATAAGCTGTTGACAGTGGTTACTTCTGGAGAGTGCCTCAGGGGCTAGGGGGGACGTGGGAGTGCAAAGTTTACACTGTATTATCTTTCTACCATGTGTTTTTAGGGAAAGAAACTAATGGAAAAACCCTGTTTTTTAGGGAACTTAAAACCAATGACATAAGACTTTTTCCCCCACTTACCTACAGAAGACTTTCGGAAAAACAGATTTTCGGTATTGATATTTAAGACCCTAAGAGCGGGGTGCCTGGGTGGCTCAGTTGGTTAAGCGACTGCCTTCGGCTCAGGTCATGATCCTGGAGTCCCGGGATCGAGTCCCGCATCGGGCTCCCTGCTCGGCAGGGAGTCTGCTTCTCCCTCTGACCCTCCTCCCTCTCATGCTCTCTGTCTCAAATAAATAAATAAAATCTTTACCAAAAAAAAAAAAAAAAAAAAAAAAGACCCTAAGAGCGAGAATAAGCATTGATGCTGTGTTACCTATTCCAAACTCTATTTTCAACCCCATCTGCCTTCAGAGAGCCTCCATCTCAGCCACACCAACCTCCTTCTTTTCTGTAAAGGCCACCTACACCGTCCTTGTCACCCTGGTCTTTCCCCCTCTTTATTCCCCTCCTTATTCCCACGCACCTCTGTGCTTCTGAATCCTGACAGGCCTGTGAGGCCCAGTCAGATGCCACCTCCGGAACTGTTTCCCTGATCCTCCTCTACCTTCCCGATTGAACTCTGAGCCCTAAAAGGGCAGGATTAATATCTAATTCTTCCTTGTTCAAATCATCCCAACCCCCCCACCCCCCCCACCCCCCGCCGGCCCCAACAAGATCTAGAACAGTTGCTTGCATATACGTGATTCTCAATAAAATTTCATTGACATGAATGAATGAATACCTAAGAATTAGATTTTGCAAAACCAAAACAAGGCTTTAGGGCAAAACAATGGCTCTCATAATTGGTGCAAACTTATGGGAGGGCAAATAACAACTGAAATGTTTAGCTCACCCTCAAATTTTCAGTGGGCTGTGGAGATGTAATGATAATAACAAGGTTAGCACAGCACTCACCGCAAGTGGTTACTTGGTTACTTTCCTGCGAATGCCTCCTTCATTTCAACATTCTAAATAGTTCAGAGCCTGTTAAATCCTGTAAGAGGTTAGTATTACATTGCTAAAAGAGCATTTGTTGTTAAATTGCTATTTGCAAAAAGGAATGTAATTGTCATTTTCAGTTTACAGCAATTACCTCCACTTTGTGGTAAATTGTTTGCTTCAATTGTAGGTGAATTCTGTCTCTCTTTTTCTGAATATTTATGTAACTCTGTGAACCACTAAAAAGATGCAACATTGTATTGCCTATAATTACAGTGTTTACAAACAAACCAGTAAATAGTCATGCCAGTAAGGGTCAATCTATAATATAAAGATTTCTGTAAACCAAGATCAGACTAGCAGGGGCCTTCTCTCTTTAAGTTCAGTGTTTTACAGTTGAGCCTACATAAGGGGGAGACAGAAATGGAATTAGAACCATAGGTCCATCAACACATTGCCCTAAGTCCTGTTCTTATCTTGTAGGTATTTGATCATTATTAGCCCATCACAAAAAAATGGGCTTCTCATGATATCAGGAGGTTTGTATTCTTAAGTAACTGCCTTAGCATAGCTCTGAAGTCTGACATCTTTTTCAGCAAATTCTACTAAATTGGAGTGAGATTGCAGTGTACCTTCACAAATATGTACTCTGCATGTTCCTGAACTTCATTACTTCATATTCCAGAAAGTTTGAATCACCCCCACCAAGATGATAATTTTGCTCTTAGCAGTAACAGACATGGTCTGTGTGATATTTATCAAGTTATTCCTCATAAATGTTAAGTTGTCTTTCTCTGTGCACTCCTAAGCAGGCAGTTCTTTGCCTCCTGAGGAAAGACCAAACTGGATCTTGTGATCTTAAAAACCGAGTGATTAAAGAGGAAGTCAAGAGGGAAGCTCTACTCTTCCGGTGATCCTAGGAGGAGGTCCATGAGTGTAGTCACATTCATCTTCCCTCTTGTCAATCAGTTACTTGTTTTTAAAATTCTTTGAGTTATAGTCACTGTTCCTTAGAAATGATCTGAAGAGAAAATTGTTGTCCTTCAGCTGGCAGCAAAAATCACTGGCATCAGAGTCTCTTGTTTGGGAATAATAATCCTGGAAGAGGAGAAATGGCACATTCAGGCTTGCCAACATTTGAGATACATGTAAAAAGGACAGTGGCAGTGCCATTGAACTCTATTGAAATTAACTGGATTAAGAAGCTTTTCAGAAATAGGGCAATAGGAAAGTGGTTAGTGTTGTGCTAAAAATGAGGGCTTATTTTGTAAACGAAGAGGGTTGGCAAGTGTAGGAGATGAGTCCCACCCATTGTTTTTAAAAGCTGAGCAGTTATGCTTAGTTGGTGAGTCATCTAAGATGTGTCTGATAAGAGGTTCCAAGAAGGCAATTCTCGCCTCCCGGGAGAGGTGTGCGGATGTGTGCACTGCGCGCATGCGCGAGAGCGTGCCCTGGGAGTTGGCTCAGTCCTGTCCAGACTGAGCCGAATCCAGTGCGGGTGCTGCGGTGCGACCCAAGGACAACAGCATGGCCTCCATTTGGGAGCGCTGTGTTTTTCTTAGCCTGCAAGAGGCAACTTAACTCTACTGCCTAAGGTTTCACCAGTGTTAATACCTCCATGCTGCATGAATGCCTTTTTGTTCACTTTACTGAGTTGCAGTAGGCCAGGTGTGTCTCAGCACAGCAGGTCAGTATAGTCCAGAAATTTGGATTTTCAAGGCTAGCTTGAACTTTTATTACTCACAGAGTGGTAGCTGGTTTAGTAGAGTGGAAAACCGCCCCTTTGTGAGCCAGGTAGTTTTGCTTTGTTCTATGGCCGCAAGCTTCACTTTACGTTGGGTCCATGGTATCAGTGATCTACGACTACATCAGGGGTTCGAAAACTACAGCGTACTGACCAAAACCACCTGTAGCCTCTTTTCGTATGGCTTGCCAGCTGAGAGTAGCTTTCATTTTTTTAGAGAGAAAAAAAGATGTTATCAAGTATACATGTTCCATGGGATCTATAACAACCCTATTTATCATCCCTATTTTATACGTAAAGAAGCTAAGATTCACAGAGGCTAAGGCACTTGCTAGGATGACACTGTGACTGGTGGTGGGATGAGGGGAAGGAGGGCAACAAGCCCATGGTATGGTCCTCTTAACTCTTCCATCTCTCCTTCAATGTGCATTGTTACCATGGAAACAGAGTGGGAAGGTATGAATGAAGCCCCAGCTCCATCATTCCTGCTGGAGTGAAGTCCAAAATACCCACTGAGAACAGTACACTCCTTTACTTAATGATTCCGTGGAATTTTTCTGTCACTCGGGAGTTACATCTTAAGAGTATGATAAAGGGGGCTCATTTTCAAAGGTAAGGATCTAGGTTTGAGAGAAAAGGAAGCCAGTTATTCTTGCGGAGTGGAAGAAGAGGAAGGAGGGCATGTCAAGAGTTATAAATGGAGTGCCCGCAAAACCCACAGCCCTCTACCAACGACTATAGGCAAAAACAGGAAGTGGTGATGGCACATGGCTTTCTTTCTTACCAGTACGACTTCCTCTTTTAAAGTCAAACCTCCTCCTAACTTTTTAACCTTACAAAGCATCAACTAAGTTGATAAAATTCTAGTTCTGTCTGCATACCTCTTTTAAGTACTTCTTTCTCTTTAGGATCATATTAGATCTTATTTGATTTGGTCGTCAGTGAGGCATATTTCTTTCATTAGACAACACAAAATACCTAACCAGCAATGAGGCTAGTTTAAGAGCAGCTTTGCACCCAAAAAATGTAGATTTACTTACAAGGAAAGAAATGGTAGGAATTGTACAAATAATTGATCCCTGCCTGTTCCCAGCTCAGCATTTAAAAACCATCCCTTTCACTCTCTAATGTGTAAATATTACAAATAACTGCATGCTACCAGATCCTGGTGTGCTGGTTCTCTGACCCTTAGAATGTTGAAATTTAGTCACAATCTAGTGACTAGGAAGTGCACTTTGGGACTGAATAATTACATGTTTCTGCTCCTTTCTTTAAATATCTTGTGAGTTCCTTAAATGAAATAGGGACTATATTAATGACCTTGGAGTTTAAACAAATGCAACTCTTCACCCCCCACTCCCCAAAGGGAAGAATTGGAATAATACTACTATCATCTGAAAGGTTCTTTACATTTTTCATTTTAATGCTATTATTGTAAAAGTAAGAAAATCATTAAAGACCATTTTGAAAATGCATAAAATAAATTAAGTATAAAGAAATCACCCAAAATCTCACTGTTAACAGCAGGTTGTGTTAGCCTTGTGATGTATTTCATTCTAAGTTCTTTGTCTCCTGCTTACACTGTTGTTCCTCTGTGGATATTTGACTTTGGCAGACAATATAGCATGGGTGGGTAAGGACTTTGGAGTCAGACTATGAGGGTTTGAGGGCTCTAATACTAGCTCTGACCTTAGACAAACTACTTAACCTCTCTGAACTTCAATTTCTTTATGTAAAATGGTAATAGTAAATACTCATAAGTGAAATATTTTAAAGTGCTTAGTGTGGGCCTGATGTATTGAAAATACCCTAAATTTATTGGTAGTAATGATCAATTGTTTTATTAATTATATTGAATCCCTATTGAAGTAAAGTTGTATGTAAAAGATAATTTTGAATTTTCCAAAATATTTAAAATTTTCACCTGGATTAGGGACTCAGAACACCTGGTCCCTCTCTCCTCACTTTCAGGCACGTCTCCTCCCATTTGGGCTCTCATTAAATAGACAATTCTTCCTCCGTGGCACCTTTTTTTTTTTTTTTTTTTTTTTTCCACTTAAGATTTCCACTAGCATGGCTTTCCTGGGCCAGGAACCATGCAGCACCACCCTGCCTCTGCAGTTACCCTCCAGAGGGTCTATTTCTGACCACAACCCCCTCCACTTCCAGGCTCCTCCCTCGGGTACTCCCACTGTGCCTGTCCTCCAGTATCATGGAGAACCTCTGTCTCTGAGAACCTCAGGGAGAAGCACACTTCCTTCCCTGTCCAGCTCAGGTGTCACGGCCTTTCACTTGAAAGCCCCTCTCTTTCCCACACTCTAAAATCCCCTTCTCCACCAGCTCTCTGTCACAATAGCGGGAAACCCCCGAATCTGAGCTCCTTAACCACGCAGATGGGTAACTTATTCAACATCTTTGCTTGGGTTCTCCATCTGCCCAGCCCTCCCTTCATCCCCAGCTAATGCTCTGCTCTCTGCAGCAGTGTTTTTAGATCCTTACTCACTTCATATAGATATGTCCCTTGGGAAGAGTTGGCAGGGAGCATATGGAAGGGCAGAGAGAGTTAGTAGAGATAAGAGATGAATAAAAAAAGTAGAGGGGGGAAGACAGGAAGGTGGAGATAGTTTGGAAAGGTAGGAGAAAGTGAAGGGGTAGAAGAAAGTGAAAGAGAGGCCAGTAACAGAGGGGAAGGACTGGAGAAAGATGGTTGGCCAGAAAACAGTGTGTTTCCTACAGTTTGTCCAATTGGCTTGTACTGGAATTTTAGATTTTCTTGTAAATATTCTGCATCAACCAGATTGTGTGTCTCTGAGTTTTGGAGGGAGGGGCTGTGGATTGGTGGGAAGTGATGGTAGATAAAAGACTAGTGAAAAAGACTACTTTTCCTCCAGTGCAGGGAGTTTTTATATCGACTATTCTAATCATGAGGACAGTAAAAGTTTTATACTTTTAACTGGGTTTAAAAGAGGAAGATTTATATAGCGTGGTGAGCCTCAGATCCCTTTTGGCAGGAAAGAGACGTGGCTGGGGTGGGGAAAGGGGTGTGGCACTGAAAATAATTTTATTTACTTATTTGAGAGAGAGTGCAAGTGAGCACGAGTTGGGAGGGGGGCAGACGGAGAGAGGGAGAAGCAGACTCCCCGCCGAGCAGGGAGCCCGACGCAGGGCTCGATCCCAGGACCCCGGGATCATGACCTGAACTGAAGGCAGACGCTTCACTGGCTGAGCCACCCAGGCGCCCCTAATTTTAAAATATATATGTGGTGAAACAAATAATGCTCTAAGACCCTGAGCAAGTCGACCAAAGAAAGTAGGCCAGACCTCACATTGATGCTGAGAGCCAGTCAGCGTCCCAGAGGGCTGATAACGATTTAGCTGTAAATGCTTCCCCTTCACTGCAGTCTCCCCTGGACGGCTGTGGGGTCTGTGTCACAGGCAGTCGCACGTGATGGCGGCATGGCACCCCAGCTGCAGACAGTGTGGCAGGCCACGTGGCACCAGTTCAACAGTCGTGAGAAACAGGAGCACCGAGACCTGCTAGCTAACGGGGCCAGCTTTAAATCCTTGCTACTGCAAGTGTGGCTTGTGGACTAGCAGCATCCACGACACCTGGGAGCTTGTGAGAAGTGCAGAACCTCAGGTCCCACCCCACATCTACTGAACTAGAATCTTCAATGTAACAAGGCCCTAAGGAGATTCGTATATACCATTGAAGTTTGAGGACAGCTGCTTTAAACTTCGGCAAGGGAAAGGACAGGGGGAGTCATGCAGGGAAGATTGGGAAGGGTTCTCTTATTTTTTAAGAGGAATGGGTCCTGGAGGAGTTGAAAGCACTCAGGTGCATGGCAGCCCCAAACACCCCCATCTGGTCACCCCCGTGGAAGCTGTTTCTGGATCCAGAGTTGTGACTGCTGCTTCATCTCCCTCTCTCGAGGGCTCTGAGGCTGGGTGGGGAGTATGTCATACGATTTCTTGTTGTTTAGCTAGGCTTTTCTTTTTCTTTTTTATTTATTTATTTTTAAAGATTTTATTTATTAGAGAGAGACACAGTGAGAGAGGGAACACAAGCAGGGGGAGTGGCAGAGGGAGAAGCAGGCTTCCTGCGGAGCAGGGAGCCCGACGTGGGGCTCAATCCCAGGACCCTGCGATCATGATCTGAGCTGAAAGCAGACGCTTAACTGACTGAGCCACCCAGGCGCCCCTTAGTTAGGCTTTTAAAAGATAGTCTCATCGTCCTTGAAGTGATGTGGGGTTGGTCTTTTTTTTCTTTTTAAGGTATAATTTATATACAATAAAATTCTCCAATTTAAAGGATAGGATTTGTAAGTTTACTCAAATATAGTTATGAAGTCAC